AGATTAAATAAATATACATATTTATTTATTTGAGACAGGGTTTTGCTCTATCATCCAGGCTGGAGTGCAGTGGCACAATCAGAGCTCACTGCAGCCTCAACTTCCTGGGCCTCCTGCCTCAGCCTGCCGGGTAGCTGGGACTGCAGGCATGCGTCACCATGAGGGTTAAATTTTAACATCATTGTTTTTGTAGAGATAGGGGAGAGGGTCTCACTACGTTGCCCAGGCTGGTCTCAAACTCCTGGCCTCCAGCAATCCTCCCGCCTTGGCCTTCCAGGGCACTGCAGTTACAGGCATGAGCCACGGCACCTGGCCAAAATTATTTATTTTTGTTTTGTGTTTTTGTTGAGACAGAGTCTCGCTCTGTCTGGAGTACAGTGGTGTGATCTCTGTTCACTGCAACCTCCGCTTCCTGGGTTCAAGCAATTCTCCTGCCTCAGCCTCCTAAGTAGATGGGATTACAAGTATGCACCACCTTGCCTGGCTAATTTTTGTATTTTTAGTAGAGATGAGGTTTTGCCATGTTGGCCAAGCTGGTTCCCGAACTCCTGACCTCGAGTGATCCGCCCAACTTGGGCTCCCAAAGTGCTGGGATTACAGGCATGAGCCACCGTGCCTCGTCCAAAATTATGTATTTTTGAGACGTGAATGTCCACATGATTATGGTGGAGGAAGTTGGGTCTTAGAGGGAGGAAAATGAGGGAGAGAGGCACGTGGAGGACTAGGTAGGGCTGGGTTCTGTGCAAAATGTCTAGAGGGGAGAGGAACCTAGGTTTGAGGTGAGGGTGTTGTCCCTGAGAGAAAACCACATGGGGGTGACCCATTCGGTCCCGGCAAGGCTGACATCACTGGGGGAGACAGAAGGAGCAGGGAGGGCAGAAGGAACAGGGCAGGCAGGGGAATGGAGGGTGGGATGCAGCCCCAGACCCTTGGCTTCTGATTTAGGAGAAGACTTCACCCCAGGAATCCGAGTGCTTAGAGGATATGGCCTCTGGCTCCCCACCAAGGTGATTCTGAGAAATTTTACATGTCAAATACAGACTAAGGTTGGGGAATGTGGCTTTTTCTTTTTTCTTTTTTTTTGGAGACAAGGTCTCACTCTGTTGCCCAGGCTAGAGTGCAGTGGTGCAGTCACAGCTCACTGCAGCTTTGACCCCCAGGGCTCAAATGATCCTCCCATCTCAGCCTCCTGAGTAGCTGGTACTACAGGTATGCACCACTACGCCTGGCTAATTTTGATGTTTTTGGAAGAGAGAGGGTCTCACTATGTCGCCCAGGCTGGTCTTGAACTCCTGGGCTCAAAGAGCTCAGCCTGCCTCCACCTCCCAAAGTACTAGGAATACACGTGAGCCATCTCGCCCAGCCAAATGTGGCCTGCCTACCTTCCCTCCCTCCCTTCCTTCTTTCCTTCCTTCCTCCATCCTTCCCTTCTCCTTCCCTTCCTTTTCTTCCTCTCTTCCTCCTTCATTTCCTTCCTTCTTTCCTTCCTTCCTCTCTCCTTCCCTCCCTCCCTCCCTCCCTGCCTCTCTTCCTTCTTCCCTCCCTCCCTCTCTTTTTCTTTCTTTCTTTCTCCCCTCCCTCCCTCCCTTCCTTCCTTCCTTCCTTTTTTAGAGATAGGTGCTTCCTGTTACCCAGGCTAGAGTGCAGTGGTGCAATCATAGTTCACCCCCCAAGTCCCTCCCACGCTTCCTCGGGGGTACAAAACAAGGGTGATGTGTCACCAAGGGAAGATGGGACAGAGGACTCAAGAGCCCGAGAGACTCCAGAAGAGGGCAGTAGAGGTGAGAAATTGAGGACAAGACTCCCTGGGCTGGAAAGGGCCCAAGCTGTGATTTGGGGTCCAGCACTGACACAAACACGACAACAGGGGGCGACGGAGGTGCAGAAATGGAAAAAGCAGGTCGGGCGTGGTGGCTCACGCCTGTAATCCCAGCGCCTTGGGAGGCTGAGAGGGGAGGACTGCTTGAGGCCAGGAGTTTGAGATCAACCTGGGCAACATTATGAGGCGCAGTCTCTACAAAGAATAAAAAATCAGCTGGGCATGGTGGCGCGCTACTCGGGAGGCTCAGATGGGAGCTTGAACTCCTGGGCTCAAGCCTCAGCCTCTCAAGTAGTCAGGACTACAGGCGCACATCACCACGCCCTGGCTAAAAAAAGTGGGTTTTTCCAAAAAAGCAGATCAGCCTGTGACCCTCTGGGGAGGCCCCCACCCTCGGCATTCCTCCATTTCCCAAAAGGGGCTGGGGGTTACTGAGGGCGGGGTCTGGGGTCTGCGTTGCTGAAGAATTCTGACCTCTATCCTAGTAGGAGTGACCCACTCACCCCAGCCTGAGGCCAAGATGCAAATGTCCCGCCCCCTTCCTTGGGACTCCTGCCTCCCATCAGGCAGGTCCTTGCTTGGGAGTGGGGACTGGGACGTTTTGCTTGGGCTCTAAGAAGGAAAGGAAGGCTTGCTGGGTGCGGTGGCTCACACCTGTAATCCCAGCACTTTGGGAGGCTAAGGCGGGCGGATCTTTCGAAGTCAATAGTTGGAAACTAGCCTGGCTAACATGTTGCAGTGAGCCGAGATTGCACCACAGCACTCCAGCCTGGGCAACAGAGTGAGACTGTCTTAAAAAAAAAAAGGGGGGGGGCCAGGAACGGTGGCTCACGCCTGTAATCCCAGCACTTTGGGAGGCCGAGGCGGGCA